CCTCCACATATGCACTACCTCGGAAGCGCTCAGTTCCAGGTCTGTGACAACATCGACAGCCACCTTTGGGTAGAGGGGTGCCAATGGAAACCCCGAAGCACTCTTCGCCCACAGCATGCCTCACTGGGGTTCGGGCGAATCTGCCACTGGCAGAAGCGGCACACTCGAACATAACACTAGGCCATGGAGTTTGCCGTTGTCGTCGTTGTCCTTCCAACTCCTCCTCCTCCTCCTCCGATTCGGTGAGAAGGGGGGACTCTGCTGCTAAGCCTTCTGCCCCGAATTACCTCGCGCGGGCATTCCATGCAAAGCATCATCTGTGATGGCCCATTTCTCTTCCATCCGCTCTCGTTTCCTCCTCCCGCCTTCCAATCACTCTGCCCTCCTGTCCCCCCCCATTCCCTTTTCCCCGTCTCCCGTCCTTCCTCCCCTCATCCCCTCTCTCTTCTCCGCCATGCCCTCTATTAGAGGCCTCACAACTGGAGCCCGCGTAGATGGGATCGGAAGATCGCGCCGCATCGCCAATGCATCGGCGACGCATCGGCGACGTCGGCGTGGAGAAGCCCTGGCTCCGCATCGAGCCGCATCACCGATGCATCGGCGATGCGGCCCGATCCTCCGACCTCATCTGCTCGGACCTCATCTGGGAGGAGACCCAAATCTACGCTCACTTCCCCATCCCCTCATCCCTCCGCCAACCCTCTTGCCTCTTCCCGGCCCTCCTGCCCCCGATCAACTCCCAACAATCCAATCACCCTTTCACCTCCTCTCTCGGGTGCGGCTCAACCGATCTCTTCCGTGACGAGCCCCTTCCGTGACGACCAACTTGACCTCGAGGCTTTGGCCGACTGCCACCGTATTGGAGCGAGACGAGGGTATCTTCACGAAGGGGTTGGTTTGCTATTGGTCGTCCTGGCCACACTGGCCTTCTGTCGTTCGCGTCCCATCCCATTTCCTTTCGCCCATTTTTGGCTGGCCGCTCCCCCGCAGCGCGTTTTCCCGAGGTCGCCAGTCTGCCTCGAGCGCGTCCCACAATTGCTGACCCAATGGCAACTACCGCTACCGCCCCCGAGGGACAAGTATGTGTGTATGTGTGCTTGCGTGCGGATGTGCGCATGCCTGTGCCAATTGCTGGCGCCCTGGGTAGCCCACCCATCTGCAACGTCAGGTGGAATTGACGCTGAGCCTACCCCGCCTGCGGTGTCGCTGCACTGACGTCACTCCGCTCGGTCGCTGGAGAAACAGCAACCGCTTCCCCGTGTGGGCGGCTGCCGGGTACCGCGCGCCGCAACCTCAGCCCTGCTGCCAGCCGCTCACTCGCTCACTCAAGCCTTACGTCGGACCTGTCATCCTACAGGGGGATCTTGGACGAAAAGTAAAATAGTCAAACCCCCCCCCAAATAGTCAACACAGCTGCTAAAAAAATAGTCCCCAGACTATTTCTAAAACTAGTTTTGAGTATTCCCCCTGTAGAGACACGCCCGACTGAACTCAAGCCATGCGTCCAGCACGGCGCGTCGGCACGACGACAACGTTGGGCCATCGCAAGGGGAGCAGAGGTCGCATGCAGGAGGACCTCCTCCTCCTCCTCCTCCTCGGAAAGGGGAGGAGGCGAGGGCGAGGAGGACGGAGCAGAGAAATGCACGAGGAGCTGCTGCCAGCCAGCCTGCCTTTCCTGGCGCGGCGCCGCGCTTGCGCTCTGTGCCGGGCAACCGTGCGTGTGTGCGCGTGAGGCGCTCACGCCGAGGGCACAGCCCGCCGCGGCGGCGCGAGGCCCGCGGACTGCCTTGATCTGCGCGCTGGGGCTAGGCCGGGCAAGTCCTCCTACAGGCGGATTTTGAAAGACAGAACTCAAACAATACTCACTAATTCTCAAACATATCAGAATAATCTTCCCCCGACCATCTCTGGATTAGTTCTGGAGACGTACTCCTCCTGTAGAGGGACCTGCCCGACTTCACGGCGCGGTGGGCGGGGGGGGGGACTGCGTGCGCGTGCGCGCGAAGCACGCGACGCCCCACGCCAGTACAGGGCAGTTTTTCATACATTGGACCTTTAAACATATAGGATGTTTAATACATGATGAATCTATGAATTCATTTATGCATGAACTCAGCGTTGTGTTTCATGGCAAAACCTGCCTTTGTAATACATAATCCGCACGCGGAGCATGTATTGAAAACGGCACTGCAACCAGCACGCCGAGGCCAGGGGCGCCGCGGCTCCTGCCCGCCCGGGGGCCCGTCGGGGGGCCCGCAGCAGCGCGCTCCGCTGGCGCGCGCGCGCACGCACGGAGGTGCGCCGCTGGAGCGGGGACTCCGCCCCGGCGAGCCGAGGCTCCCCCAAAACCTTGGAGCGGGCAGTTTTTGACCGTCGTCGGCCTCCGGGAGGCCCTCGCCGGGCCTCGCGACTGTCAAAAAACTAGGGGGCCACGCGCGAAGCCTACCCCTATCCCTCACGATTTCTGAGGGGGAGGGGGGGGTTCACTTTGTTCGTGGGGGGTAGGGGTAGGTTTCGCGCGTGGCCCCCTAAAAACGACTCAGGACGAAAAACAAGGTTCTGTCGGCGGTGGACAAGCCTCCCTGTAGTAGACCTCCCCTTCATGAAAACGGCCCGGGACCGAAACCAGCGGACCTGGACCCGCAAAAATGACGGCCGCGCCGCCCTCTCGCGAACCGAAAACGGCCAATTCCTGAATGGACGTGTCAACGTAGGAGGTCTGTCCACCTCCGATTCTGGGGAAGTGGCCCAAAAAAGCTCCGGGGCCGATGCCTCGAAAGATTGGAGAAGCCGGATGTCTGGGTTGGGCGGAGGTCCGGGCAGCAGCCCGCGCGGACGTGCACAAATGGATAAGGAGCACAGGGGGCCAGAAGCCAATGGAACTCCAACTTGCCGTCGCTCGGACGTCCATTTCCCGAGCATTTTTCGGTTTCGTGCGTGTGTTTTTGGCTCGATGGAGCAGGATGGTCCTCGATGGTTCTCGCCGAGAAGAAATGCACACGTCCGAGCGATGCCAAGCCAATGTGGATTCGTGGATGCCGCCGCTGCCCTCAGCAGATCAGGAATCCTCCAGGGTCTCACGCGTCCTGTGCACATTCCTTGACCAACGCCCCCCCCCCCCCAGGGTACAGGGGGGCGTGGCCCATAACTTCCCCGGGAGGCAGGGTCAACCGTGACCCTCGGGGGGCGATGGCTGCGCCGGATAGACACTCTAGCCAGCAGCTCTAAGCTCTAAAGACGAGGAGGAGGGCGGGGGGGGGGGCGACGACGAGGCTCGGCGGCGGCGTGGACGACAGCCACGGGGCACCTTGACGGAGTCAACGTAGCAGTCGAGCACCCCGAACGCGCGCAGGCCCAGCAAGTGCTCCTGTTCAGGTCGGGCGGGAGAGGATGGACAGCAAGGCTGAACCTAAACGGTGTTTTTCGTTGTCGTTCTGTGTTCGTTTTCCCTCGCTTTGTCTTCAATCCGCCTCTCACGCAACACGAAATCGAAACGAAAACGGCCCACGAAATCGCCCAAACACCGCTTAGGTCCACCCAAGATGGGCAGGGCAGGCTTGAAGCCGACTTCTGGAAGCCTTCCCGAAACAGGACCTCAGCGGCTACTGAGCCTGACGAGGGGGCCGCTGGACCGGATGCAGCTCTAGGCGTAGCCGGATCGCCGGAGATGAGGCGGGATACGCCGGATTGGGCCAGCTGTCGACCGCGCACGGCAGCGCCGATGCCGAGTCGACCCTCCCGAGAGTTAGGTCCGAAGCAAGGGGGGGGGCAGGCGAATCTCGGAGGAGGGCGGTCGAGGCAACGGCGCCCGCCCCCTTGCGCTGGTCGTCCTTCTTGCGCCCCCCGCAGGCTTCTCGTCCCTCGCCATCGCTCGGACGTCGATTCCCTGTGCTCTCTCTTCGGGTTCGTGCGCGTGTTTGCTTCGCAAGGTGAACCAGAATGCTCTTCGGTGGTCCTTGCCGGGACAAAGCGCACACGTCCGAGCGATGCCGAGGTCAGCACGGCCGGGCCCACCGCGAGAAAACCAGCCAGGAGGGGTCTGGGGGCCGATCTTGATGAGCATCGTTGCTCCGACCCCTATCCCCAACGGCGTGGCCTGGGCCCCACCGGCCGATTTCCCCCCTGGATGGGGACACAGGCAAATTTCCTCCGGGTTTCGAAAGGTAGATCCACAACTTGGGTGCTGTTATGGTGCCGGTCTAGATGGGGATGAGGATGGGGATAGGGGGTCGGTTAAACGATACTGACTTGAACCGATTTGAGCTGGGCGCAAGGCCTCCATTGTCTCAACTGTCCCTCGCAGCGACGGCTTCCCGGGCGCCTGGGGAACCCGCAAGACATCGATGCCGCTACTTCCCTGACGTCTCCAGGGGCTCGTTCGGAGCAGAAATTCGAGGCGAATCCAGCGGTGGTGACGAGGGCCTCCCATCTAGGATCTAGGCCTCTCGGAGAGGGTCGGAGTAGATGGGGTCGGAGGATGGCGCCCTATCGCCGATGCATCGGCGATGCGGAGCGATGGGTAGCCTTATTTTCTCTACGCCGACGTCGCCGATGCATCGCCAAAGTCGCCGATGCATCGCTGATGCATCGCTGATGCATCGCCGATGTATCAGCGCCCCATCTGCTCGGACCTCATTTGGGAGCCCTCTGTCCCAGAAAAGGCAAAACCGAGTCCAGGGAAGCTTTCTCGGTACCTTCCTTCTCTTTGCCAAGCCTTCGGGCCCTCTTCAGGGGCCGCAGCGTCCGAAAGCGGCCGCGCGCGTCGGCCGCGCGTCGGCCACACAGAGGCAAGGAAGGGACTTCTCATTTGATCATCTCGGATGTCCACCATGCACCTGTCGGCTTCGTGCGTGTACGGTCTCGCAAGATCTGGCCATCGCTCGGACGTCCATTCCCTGTGCTTTTTCCGGTTTTCGCCGAATGATCAAGGATGCTCCTCGATGGCCCTCGCCGAGAAAAAAATGCACACGTCCGAGCGATGTCAGGAGATGATCCAAAAGGCACCTCGATGGTCCTCGCCGAGAACAGAGTGCACATGTCCGAGCGACTCCAGGACCTTCATCGTGAGATTCCTGCTACCGGTACCTTCTCCTCCTCGGAGCGCTTCCCGGCGCCCGCGGCGGCCACGCATGGAGAAGAGCAGCTTTCGCAGCGGCAGCAACTTTCGCGACGCCCGCATCCCGTCTCGAGAGCGCCGCCTTCCCCTCATCGGGCCGCCCGGAGCCCCAGCCCCGCTCCGCCCCGTCCTCCTCCTCCTCCTCCTCCTCCTCCTCCTCCTCCTCCGCGATCCTCCTCCTCTTCCTCCTGCTCCTCGATCCTCCCCCTCCTCGACCTGATTCTTCTTCCTCCTCCTTCTCCTCATCCTCCTGCGCCTCCTCCTCAATTCAATCCTCCACCTCGATCCTCGACATTCTGGCTCCTCCTCCTCCTCCTCCTCGATCCTCCCTTTTCTGGATCGTCCTACTCCTCAATTTGCCCAGTCCCCCCCTTTGGTCCGGCCCATCCTTGGCGCGCGCCAGCAGCACGTCGTGGTCCTCGGGGCTCGGGAGGGGAAGAATCAGTGCGGCACCCTTTTGTTGTTGGGCTCTTGGCGCGAGGGTGCGCACCACAGAAACGTCCACGTCAGGAGATCCGTGACAAAGAGGGGGGGGCGCGATAGTACCCCTGGGCCCACGCGGTGAGGGTGGGCGGCACAACGCACCCCGAAAAGCAGCCCGACCCCTGCGCCCGTCCGAAGAACGCAGCTCTCCCAGCCGGGTCCCATGATGTGCGTGCCGCAGGATGGCCCCTGTCCAGACGGCGGGCCGTGGGCGGGAGAGCGCGCTGGCATCGGGTGCAGTCCAGCGGCCACCCGTTGGATGTTCTTGGACGGCGCCCGTCGGCAGGAGGACGTGGATGCGGAGAAGGACGAGGGCCAGGGTATCGACTGCACGCGAAGAGTGACCCTGGGCAACAGTGACCACTCGTGCGCGGATTCTCGGGGACCGTAGGAAGACCAAGCATGAGCGCGCAAGACGCTACCATCCCGTCGCGTTCGGCGATCGGGGGACCCCGACGAGCCCGCACCCAAAGGTCACCTGGTCGAAGGGGTAGGTAGACCGAACTTTTCGCGGATCAGGGCGACTATTCCGGACAGCCACCCAGAAACCCACATGACGCCTCCGAGAGGTCGCCGAGGGGCATCCCAAGAGAACCCGAGAGGCTTCTAGCACGCCTCTGACAAACGACCCAGGCACGGTGGCGGGATAGACAGGCGGAGCTTCAGTGGGGGCTAGCTTTTCTGAATGCTGCCTTGCAACTACCATCGGACCTAGGCCAGAAGAACATCCCTCACGAACATGAGACCCTCCGTCGGCCAAAGCACCAGGACATCTAAGGGTGCCCTCCTCAGGATGCACAAGAACACCCCCAAAGGCACGAAGAACACTAGGGTACCCTCCCCGGACCGACCTCGATCATACACCTCGGTCCGACTGTATCCTGCACGTGTTTCTCCCCCAAAACTAACTTCACGCGACAGCTCAGGGGAACGACCGCCACCGACAACCGCCCCAGCCCCCGCGCACACGAGCCACTGCCAGCGGTGGTACTTTGTGGGCCAGGGATGGCTGATGCAGCGGAACTGGTCAATGAGAAGTGATGGACGGGAGATGATGTGGAGAGGAGGAGGAGGAGCGGATGTAGGGGGGAACGTCGCGGAGGAGGTGCAGAGGAGGGAGCGTGGAGGACACAGCACCTGGAAGAGCAGGAGGGTGGGAGCTCCTCAGCCGCCCTCCACGAGCCACGACTGCCGCCCCATCCACCGCCACCGTGGACCCTCCCTCCTCGCTCCGGAATCCTCGGCTCGTCCCTCGCCTCCGCCACGTCCTGACGGCTCTCCCCTCGTCCTCCTCCCTCCTTCCCACTTCCTCCTCGGCCTCCCCCGTCCCTTCTCATCCGCCCTCCGCCCCCGCTGCACTGGCCGTGGCGGACCGGCCAAAGACACGGTGGCCAACGACCAGCATCGCCACCGGCGGCGGAAGCCAGCGGAAGAGAACCCCGGCGGCCGCCGCGCGGCAGACGGGACGCCCGGAGCACGGCACGGCGAGGAGGACGTGCGCGAGTGTGGAGACGGCAGGAGCGGGCCGGAGAGGACGGGGAGCAGCCGCACTGCTGGAGCTGCTCTTCTTCCTCCCCCTTCCCCTCCTTCTCCCCTCCTCCTCCCCCTCCCCTCCCCTCCTCCTCCTCCCCCCCCTCCTCCTCCTCCTCCTCCTCCTCCTCCTCCCTCCTCCTCCTCCTCCTCCTCCTCCTCCTCCTCCTCATCCTCCTCCTCCTCCTCCTCCTCCTCCTCCTCCTCCTTCTCCTCCTCCTCCTTCGCGCCGTGGCTCCCTGCGCGCAGTGATTTCACGATGCAGCAAGTAGTCCGAAGAGGCCGAGGAGTCCTGAGAGTCATTCCCCGTCGTCCTCCGCCGCGTTGCCTCCCCCGACCTCCTCGACAAATGTGCGACACCGCGCCTTGCGCAGGCTGCGGTGGGCCTCCTCAGTGCTCATACCACGCGGCTGTGAATAGTAAAGGGGCCGCTGGATTTCTCACAATTCCCAGACCATCGACCTCGCGGAATTCACTGGCGCTCGTGGGCGCTCTCGGGGTGAGTCGTGCGAGCCTCCCGGCTTAAAAACTCATCGAATTAGAACAAAAAGAAAGCAACATACACATAAACAGTCGGGTCTCCACGCGGATTTGTTGGATCGGCGCTAGGCCCCCCTCCCTGGCCCGCGGAGCGCGACGGGGGCGGCACCAGAGGCCCCACCAAGAGGGCCCAGACGCCGATCCTAGGAGCCAGAGCGGAGCTCCGACAGCTCATCGTGTAGCAGTTCGATGTGATCATTACTCGCTATACGATTCTCAGTCGTAGTATCTGCCTTATTCTTCATCTGCGTATGATTAGTGTTTACCACTACTCGTATCATTATGTTGTGTGTGCATCAACCTGTTCAATGGTTTGGGCCCTGGAGAGTGCGCTGGGCCAGCTGCCCAGGGCCTGCTCGGCCGATCGCTCCTTGTCCCAGTCGTAGGCGTGCGCGGGGTGGCCCGGATGCGTTCTCGAACACAGCCCGCAGCACTGGCGATCTCCACTTCCCAGGCTGCGGAACACAGGCATTAAGGGATGAAGGGATGAAAAAACGACCCTACCCTGGGTTACAAGTGCGTGGTCTGTAAACCTCCTGGGAACCCCCAAAGCCTAGAGCCGCCAGGAAGCGGCAGATCACGCAGGGTTTACCCTGTCAGCCCACAGGAGTTTCAGAGCACAGCGCCTCGTAAGCCAGGGTAGGAGCGTTTTTTTCTGCCCTTGAAGGCAGGGTCGGATGCCGCCAGATGTGCTCCTGCCCCGAGATGCCCCCAGCTCTTCGCGCCATCGGCGAGCCCCACGTTGCCCCTCTGGGGCTCGCCGGGGGCGACCCGGAGGCCATCTGGGCCTCCCTGGAAACGCCGGGGTCACCTCGGGCTGGGGCCACCTCTGGCGGCACCCGAGACGGAGCCCTGCTCCCCCTTGGGCAAGCACCAGGGCTCGACCTAAACGGGGCTATGGCGACTGCGTGGACCCTTCACGGTTTGACTTCGTTTTTCAGCCGCAGCTGGACGATGACAGAACGAGGGAATACTAAAACGCAACACGAAAAACGAGACAAAGAACCGGTTAGGTCGCGCCCTGGCAGGCACAACCCGACTCGGCAACCGCACTGCTCTCCGCAGGACTCCCCGCCTCGGGAGGAGCACGTACTTAACGGGCCATGGCGATCCTCATTGCCGGCCTTGGCTGTCTTGTCGGCGGGGGGTACACCCCAGGCCTGGCTCAACGCGCACAGAGCGACACCTTATTCGGCTACACGCAAGAGTGACCCTGGGTAAGAGTGACCTCTGGTGCGCGGCTTTTAGGAGGCCGCGGGGAGACCAAACCTGGGCGCGCAAGTCGCTGCTACCGCTTCGTTTTCAGCCATTTGAGGACCCATCTGTGCCCGCACCAAAAGTCACTCTGGCGAAGGGTCACTCTTACGTCTAGTCGACTTATGCACGACACCTCCCCCACCGGCCAAAGCTGCAAAGGGCCCCACGCTTCCCCTCGGCAGGAAGATGCTCGGGCGCACGCCAGCGTGGAGTATAGCTCCGCGGATCTGGCGCGCGGGCGCCAGATCCACGGACCGTGGAACGTCCACCCCGAAACATGGAGCCAGCGACGCCCCGGTAGGCGAAGGAGCGCGCCGACTTCGTACGGATGCGGGACCCACTGTTGAACCACGCGCCCGACTCTATGCTTGCTGTTGTCGAGGTGTGACTGATCCTTCTCCTCATCCTTCGTCGTCCACACGGATGAAATTGCAAAAGCGCCCTGGTGGCCTCCTCAAGCGAAAGATGCGACTGGCGCTGATACGCTCTTGATGCATTATGCAGCTCCGACGCGTGACGAAAAAACGCGAAAGCGTGACAGCTCGGGCTCGAGAAGCTGAGCGGGCACCGACCAATCCGTAGGGCCAGGGTGTCCGTCCTTGCGAAGCACTTCTCTGCCTTACCTTGACGCTTCGAAGCCATTCTCTAAAAGGCCGACACCACGGTCCAAGCACCTCCGAACACGGCACGGTAGGGCCCCAGTGAGCTCCCAAGAGGGCGCAGAATGGCCCATCGAGGGCCCAAGACGGAGGCCCGAGGAGGAGCCCCGGCGAGCGCCGCGAGAGCACGAGAGAACCCAGGGAGGACAGGCAAAGGCGAAGCCAGCGGCAGCCGGGTGTAGCCAGCACGGGCAGCCACCAGCAGACAGAAACATGTCGCAGCAGCAGCAATCAGCAGCAGACACCGCCAACAACAACAAATAAGTAACAGCCGCAATGTTGGGAGGACCGCTCAAATTTCTTCGTCGGCTCTGCCCCCCCCTCCGCGAACTGCTGAAAGTTTATTATTATGCAGCTGTTTTTTTTTTATTCAAACAAGACACGACAACAGATGCAAAAACCAAGCAGCAGAGGCAAGCAACCGAGACGCCGGGGACTCGGGCCTTCCACGCACGTGCCTCAGGGGATCACGAGAGAGTGGAGGACTCTGCGCATGGACCGCTGGACTACCCTGCGAACCCTGGCGGTGCCACCAGTGGCCGACGTCGCCGTGTACCCTCAGCGCCAGCCCACAGCCGAGGCAACGACCGCGAAGAGCTCTGCCTCAGAGATCTGGGCCAACTCTCCGCCGTAGTCTCGATCAGACGCTACGCTGGCGCGCCACGAACAGCTCCGCGGGTGTGCACTGGGCTAGGTGCGGGGCCGGGTGGGGGCAGAGTCTGCGCTTCCAGGACCGCTGATGAACGAATCCTGCGCCACAGGGGAGAGCGGAGACCTCACGATGAGCTCCGCCAATTCGTTCTTCTTCTCGAACCGTGTCTGAAAGAGTCATTTCTCTTCCGCCCCTTCACGACCACGAGGGGTGAGATGCAAGAAGTGACAGCGGATCGAGCACACAATGTGAACAACTTCCTGTCCTGGCCGCGCTCGATTACGCAAGCGGGCTCGTGCTGATGTCCACCCTGACGTTCCAAGCAATGTGAATGATGCTGTAACTACGAATGCGCATTGCCCGTCAAATCGCTCTGCCTCTGTTGCCCATCCCACCGCAGTTGACGCGGTCAAATCCGAGAAGGTACAAGGCCTGCCTGTTTCGCCTCCCAGCCATTTCAGAGCAATCCTGCCCCGGTGGAGATTGAGAAGACAAGAGAAAGAGAGAGAGAGAGGGACAGAGCGACACATACATCTATACATCTATATATATATATATATATATATATATATTGTGCATGTAGATAGACATATGTGTATACATACATATACACATATAAACAACAAATTAATATACATTTGCTACCGAGCCTATGGCACGAAATAGAGTGCCCCAAGGCTCATGCAGCAATGCGTGGTAGAAGGTTTGTAAGGTCCTTAAGGCCCTGACCCCCGATTTCCCAGGCGCTCTCGGAGGGTACTGGAGCGTTTCACGTGGGCCTCCTGGGGCGGTGACTCCGCCAGACGAGGACAACAAACAGGCGAAGCGAGCTCCGAGGAGCTCCCTGCAGGGCCCAAGAGGCCTCCGAGGCGGGCCAGGAGCACTCCAAGACGCCCAAGATGGCCCGAAGACGGCCCAAGAAGCCTTCGAGACGCCTCGAGAGAGGCCCAAGCGCCGTCCAAACAGCCCAAGAGGGCCCGGAGAGGCCAGCGCCATTGATTTCCCATTATTTTGTTGTTGTTGGGTTCTCCACTTTTTTGGGGGGGCCAGCAAAATGTTAAATGTTTTTGATGGGTTCTCCACTTGTCTTCCTCCCGGTGCTCCAAGACGTCCCAAGACGCCCCAAAGACCGCCCCAAGACAGCCAGAGAGGGCCCCCAAAAGGGCTCCAACCAAGACGGCCCAAGAGGACCCAAGAGAACAATCAGAAAAAAACATACACACAACAAGGGAACTCGCAAACGCCGCACGCGCCCAGACACGTACGTGAATACGGCCCCCAGTCCGCCAGGCCAGCCTCGTGTTACGAATGCTCGCGCAGTGAAGACCCTCAAGACACACCAACACTGTCGCACAAGTACGTCACTTGCGGCTCCTGAACAGAAAGGGACGCGCATTCCGAAGGGCCCTCGCCTAAATTTCCGAAATTTGAAGGGGCCCTGGGACACACAAACAAATACACACAAATAAAACTATCCCCCATATTTTCCTATATTTGCTGGGTTTTTGTCTTCCCCCCCACTTCCCATATTTTCCCATACTTTATGGGGAATCGACGATTAATTGTGTCTGTGTGTTTTTTCCCCTCCTGAAAATTTGCCTTCACGTGCGCCGGGCTCCAGAGCCCTCGACCTCCTCTCTCGTGCGGGTCCTGCGCTGCGGCCGGAGTTCTCAGGGCCCCGGGGGCCCGAGGCTGGCCTCGGGAGGCGTGCGCGCGCGCAGACAGCACGGCCGTCTTGATCTCAGGACCCGGAGGCCTGGGGCAAGCTTGGACGTTCCGTGCTTCGCTATAACGTCATCGTACCACCTCAGTCAGCGCTGAAGAAGGGAACGGCCGGGTTTTCTGGCCGCGGCGAGCCCTCGGCCACCATCAGGTCCCACGACCTGGACCCAAGGAAGGGCCCGAAAAGCAGAGCACCTTCTGAGCAAAAGGCGGTCCGTATTTCGGCGCTCTGATTCAGAAAAAGAGAAGCCATAAACATCAATTATAGGAGCTCCGCGCGGAATTGGATCCGCGCTGGACCCCCCTCCCTGGTGCGCGGAGCACGCCAGGGGCGGCGCCGGAGGCGCCGCCAGGGGGACCCAACGCAACTCCAAGAAACCCGCGCGGAGCTCCGAAAATCTATGTTTTGCTCCTCGAGTTTCGTATGCACGCAAGCGTGGACAGGGGTCCCTGAATCAGGGCTGAACCTAAACGGCATTGTTCGTGTTCGTTTTGTTTTCGTTGTCCCTCGTTTTGTCTTCGATTCGCCTTTTTTACCGCAAAAGGAAATCGAAACGAAAACGGCCCACGAAAACGCCAGAACACCGTTTAGGTCCAGCCATGCCCCGAGCCCTGGGGGTCTCCCCCCAGGACGAGCTGTTCCTCCCGAGTCGTCTTCTGACGGTCCCCAGGCCCGTGGAGGGCCCGAGAGCCCGAGAACGGACGGCAGCCTCGGGACCCGTGTCCCGCAGGACCGACGGGCAGCTCCTGTCCATTCTGAGCTGGGCTCGCTGTCGGTGTCGCCGCGGACGTTGCCCCTTTGAGACAGCAGGCCGCCTGCCCAGCAGCGGCCGCTGTCGGCTTTGGACCACGTCCGCTGCTGGGCATCCTGCCCAGTGGTTCCGTACCCCCTTGCGGGCGCCCGAGCACTCGGAGGCTGCCAGACGCCCCCCTGGCACAGGGTGCCTCGGGACCCGTTTCCCTCAGGACCCGCTTCCCCCCAGGGGCCCATGGCGAGGGGTGCCCTCCAGCAGGGGCCCACCTCGACACGCTGGAGGCACCGCCGCCGCGCCGTGCGCTGGCGAGCGCCTCGGGCGCGCGCGATGGCTACCGGCGACGGGGCGTGGGGGCGGGGGCTGTGCAGTGGGGGGGCGGTGGCCCGCCTCGGCATCGCTCGGACGTCCATTCCCTGTGTTATTGTTCGGTTTCGTGCGTGGTTTTTTCGCCAAATGATCAAGAATGCTCCTCGATGGTCCTCGCCGAAGGAAACATGCACACGTCCGAGCAATGCCAAGACCCTGGGCAGGACTGCCCTTTGGCGCTCGCTTTTGGGGGGCCCCTCTCGAAGGACGCAGCCCTCCCAGCCCGGTCCCTTGCCTGCGCGCCGCAGAAGACACCCTGTCCAGACGGCGGGCTGGGGGAGGGACCAGGAGGGAGAGCGTGCTGGCATCAGGTGTACACGCAGGGGCCCTGGGACACACGAATAGACAGACACAAATAACAGGATTCCCAAACTTTTCCGATATTGTTTCTGGATTGTTGCCTGCCCCCCACTTCCTATATGTTTCCAGATTTTCCTGGGGTGTCGACGATTAATCGTGTCTGTGTTTTTTTCTTCCTGAATCAGGTGTGCAGTCGGAACTAGCTAGGCCAGTGGAGCATCCCTGAAGGACACGAGACCCTCGGCCGGGCCAAATGCACAGCAGAACATCCAAGGGTGCCCTCCACAGGATGCACAAGAACATCCCACATGCACGAACAGCACTAGGGTACCCTCCCGGAGCCGACCTCTATCTTTTACCTCGGTCCGACTGTCGTCCAGCTGCAACCTGCTGGATGTTCTGGGAAGGCGTCCGTCAGAAAGATTATGAGGATGCGGAGAAGGATGGGGGCCAGGGTATAGGCTACACGCAAGAGTGACCCTGGACAAGAGTGACCTTTGGTGCGCGGTTTCTCCGGGGCCGCGGGGGGACCAAACAATAGCGCGCAAGACGCTACTGCCGCCTCGCGGTCGGCTATTGGGGGACCCCATTGGGCCCGCACCGGGTGTCACTCCGGCGAAAGGCCACTCTCACGTGTAGTCGACCACCGCCCCTTCGGTGGCAACTCATGGGAGCCTCCCATACCATCTTGCTGGCTCTTGCGAGTCGACGCTAGCATCGACGCCAAATCTATGCTAACCGACGCTAGTCGACACTGCATCGGTGCTATATCATCGATTACCAGACGCTAATCGACGCGAGTGCGACGGTATACAGGGCTCCCATGATTTGCTACCGAAGCCCCACGGGTTCTTCCAGGCGCGCGTGCATCTTACAGCTCAGGAATGATTTTCTTCCAGCCAGCCACACCGACGTGAGAACCGCCAGCTTCCCAGCTGATGGGGAAAGGAGGGGACGCACGGTGCGTCAGCTGGCCCTCGAGGCCGAGAAAGAGGAGGAGCGAGGAGGCGGGGCGCGGAAGAGGAGCCAGGGAGAGCGCACCTGGCAACCCCCGGAACAGAACCTCGAAGCGTAATGCGGGTGCGTGACGCCGGCAAGTCCGCGCTGCTCTCTTGCTCCGCGCCCTCGCGACGGGGACGAGCCCGCCAGTCCGGTGCGCATCGTGGAGCTCGTGGCGTGCCCACGCGTGCAGCCACACCGTGCCCCCACGAGGAGCGCCGCGCTCTGTGTGGCAGCTCACGGGAGCCTCTGTGTGGTCGACGCGAATCGGCGCTGATGCACTCTGCTGCTCTCGTCCCTCAACGGAGTGAACGCCGCACTGCACTGTCTCAACCGCCATGCGATTCGAAGAGTCCCCAGACAAACTGGTTGCAGCCCACGAGCCGGTCTGCGGTAGGCAAACTCGTGAGGTGAACCGCGGCCTGAGAAAGAGAGATAGAGAGATAGAGAGAGAGAGAGAGAGAGAACGAGCGCGCGAGAGGTAACGCATTACCTCCCCTTCATGCGCCGGCCGCAGGCCAGAGGTAAAACGATGCGCCCGCCGGATAGGGTACTGAGTGTGGATGCCGAAGTTGATTGCCCAGGCGGGCGAAAACACGCTGTGTAGTAAGAGCACTTATTGGGATGGCCTAAACACCCGCACGAATGAATCCAATACTGCATGAGGTCAGAGAGAGAGGCAGAGGAGAGGAGATGCGGAACGAGGAGAAATGGGAGAACAAACGGCCCCTGACTCTGGCTTCACATGTGGACTCGCAAAACATGCAGCAGCTCTAGACTGGAACTGGGGACTGCGCCCCACACGAACCGACCTGCACGAGGTATGCCAAGATGGTGAATACCAGACGAATTGAGCCTATCCGCCAGAAAGCCGCTGTCTGGACTCATGGAGAAGAGTTCTGCGGCTACTCATGGGAGCCTCCAGTACCATCTTGTTGGCTCGACGCTGACCGACGCTAATCGACGCTCAATCAACGCTACATCGACGCTGAATTGACACTCATCGACGGTACATCGGCGCGACCTCATCGATTACCAAACGCTGATCGACGCTAATGCGCTCTCTGAGGACGGAAGTGCGATGGTCTGCAAGGCTCCCACGGGCACCCCTGCACGCCTCTCGGCGAGGCGCATCTGCTAGAGAGAATGCCCCGAAGCTCGAAAACCTGAGACAATCAAAGACAACGTCAGAAAACCTGAGGCCTCGAGCCTGCGACCGTGATGACTTCTGCGTCTTCTTGGCTGTAGTCCCTCCCACTGGCTGGCGTAGGGTTTCTCGGCGATCGCAAGCTGTCGCGCCCACTGAGTTAGACGCTCGATCTGGGAATCCTCCTGCAGCCACTTGCTCCACTCATGCCTCGATGCCGCGTCGAACTTGAGCCGAGCTGCGCAAAGGTCGAGCTAGAGTCGAACCGATCCGCCAGGTGCGCCCCAGAAATGTCCCCTAACACGAACATCGACCTGGGGGTGGCTTTGGAGAACACGAACGTGGCGAGGATGGCCTCCCAGGAGACCCAAAGCGGGGAAAGCGAGGCAAGGGTAGCGGTGTGGGTGCCCTGTCCTGCTCTCACGACCACCTACGACCATCGACCTGGGGGTGACCTGGGCCCTCCCCCCCGGCTGGCGTGGGGTTTCGCGGCGAGCGCAAGTACTCGAGCAAGGCCGCCGTGTCGTTCGGCATCTTCTGCACCTTCGGCGGCCCGCCGCCGACCGCGCACGTGCGCGCGCGCGCTCGCCGCCGACATCGCTCCGCATGGATCGCTCCGCGTGCCCCGCCTGAGGGCGCCACCAACTCGAGGAAACCAGGAGGCCATACAGTCAGACCGCTACTAGAGGAAACGCCAAACAAGGAACGAAGGGTCTCTTCTGGCCAAGATGGGCATCGTAGGGGACCGAACTCGCTTTTTCTGGCCCTGCACTGGAATTTGCAAAGGGAAACGGATCCTGGTGTATACGGGATCCTGGTGGGTACATGGTACATGTGCCGCTGGCTCCCGAGAAACCGGAACACATGTGCACCACACCGCCCCGACGTCGACCTGGAACCTCAAACACAAAGTCCTGACACCCAAAAAAAAGACCGCCATCGGCACTGCAGATGCTCCAGTTTTCGACCTCGGCCGTGACGAGGCTCCTCGTGCCGAAGCGACGGGACGGCCCGAAGACCAGAGCCCCTCCAGAGCCCAACGTGGCCCTCACTTCGGCGCCCTGCAGATGGCTGCACCGCTCCTGGGCCAGGGATGGCCGCGCACCGCGTCCGTGACCCGAGCGGGCTCTGACTCGCCATCGCTCGGACGTCCATTCCTCGTGTATTTGTCGATTTCGTGCGTGTTTTCTTTCGCCAACTGATCAAAGATTATCCTCGATGGCCGTCGCGGAGAAAGAAATGCACACGTCCGAGCAATGCCAAGCTGAGAGACTCTCTGCGCAGACATCCGAAGAGCTGCCTGCGCAATCCGGTCGTCTGTGCTGCGTCTCGGCTCCCGGGGTGGGGTGGGGGGGGCTTGCGCGCCTGCAGGGCAATCAAAGACAGATCTGGGGCGACAAAGCGCCTGCCCTCTGAGGGAATGGTCAGAAGTTCTGGGGCCGCGGGCTGAGAGGAGCACATCGTCGGATGTTTGTTCCACCTTTTTCGAAAAGTGTCTCGTAAGAGGCCGAAAGACATAATAGTACTATGTGTCCTCCTCGGAGGCGCGCGTCCGACCCGGACATATAGTATGCCCATCTTGTAGTATATCGTTTCCCGAGCGGTGTGGTCAGAAGGCGCCCGCCACGACGCAGATACTGTAATATTTCTCGGTGAGCGCGTCGCCCCTGGGGGGACGATGCACATATAACATAAGTATGTTGGGGTGCCGCCGATCTCTTGGAAATGGAAGCGGCAAAATAACAGCGATTAGAAAGGAACAAGAAACGGCCCAGCGCGCGCGCGGGGGCGCGTCCGCTGCGACAGGGGGCTGTGGCTGAGCCCAGGCGCGGCCGCGGCAGCGGCCCACGAACCACGCAGCGGCAGCCAGGCAAGGCATCGGCGGCATCGGCGGCATCGGCGTGCGCGCGGGCAGGCGCGCGTGCTGGTGCGGCTTGGCCAAGCGGCAGGCCCGCTACAGCAACACTACAGCCACCAAACGCCCCCCCCCCCGCCGCGAGCGCGGGCAGCAGGTCCCCAGCGGGGGGCCATGCCGCTCCGACCAGGAGACGCGGGCGGCGCTGCGGACGCTGCTCGGTGCGGGGGCGGCGGGGGCGGCTGCCGGGGATGGATCGGGCAAGCGGCAGCGGCGGCGGCGGGAGCAGCGGCGTCAGCAGCCGCGAGATGGAGCTGGTGCTGGGGAGGGCAGCACGGCCGAGCGGCTGGCAGGCCCCCGCCGGCCGATGTGGAGCTGCCCACGCGGGGTGGCCCACAACCGGGCGCGCCGCGCGGCCTGCCGAGGGCCTGCCGAGGGCTGCGGCCGCCGCGCCCCCGCTCAGAGGCGCCCTCCGCGCGAGTGGCGCGGGCGGGCCGGGCGCCGGGACCCGCCGCGCAGGCGCCTTGGGCTCGGCAAGCGGCGGGGCACCAAGGCGACGCGGCGGCTCGTCCAGCCGTGGAGGCGGCGCGGCTGCGGCTGCGGGCGGCGCGGCTGCGGGTGCGGCCGCCGCCGATGCCGCGATGGCCGAGCCGGAGGCGGGGGAGCGCCTGGCAGCTGTGCGCGCCCGCCTGCGGCGAGCTGGCGCTTCCTGCAGCTCGCCGCTCGGGTGGCGCAGTGGGAGGCGGAGGAGGCGGAGGAGGCGGTGGCCGCTGGCGGAGGCGGAGTGGGTGGCGCTGGTGGAAGCGGACCGCGCAGCCTGGCCTCTCGACTGCAGGCTGCATTCGGCAACGGATGCGCTGCGCCACCGCACCGAGGCGGCCCTGCAGGCGCGGCAGGCCGCCGTCGACGCTCAGGTGGTGGCCGAGCGGGCGGCGCAGGCCGCCGCAACCAAGCAGGGGGCGGAGCGTGCGGAAGCCGAGGTGGCCGCCGCGCAGCGGACGCTGCGCGGTGGGGTGGCATGCCCGTGCGGCCGCATCCCCGCTCTACCCGTCTGGCTGGCTGCGGGGCCCAGGTGTGACTGAGCTGGGCCAGCGTGCCAAGCGGAGCCACCTGGGACATGCAGGACCTCGAGTCCGCGTTGGGGCTAGTCTGCTCCAATTGCACGGCTGAAGAGATCCCTTGTTCAAGCGGGTGACAGTGCTAGGCCAAGGCGGCTTGGCTGGCGGCCACGCTTGTCGCAGTGGTTTCTAGGCGCCTGACTGCGTCGGCGCGCAACAGAGCCGCGGAACCTTGCGTCGGTTTGGTGAGAGGTCCCATGGACGCTTGGTCTGGGAAAGCATTATTCATCGGAGTCGCCTTCTCAACCTGGTGGCTCACGTCGTCTTGTGGGCGACATCTGCGGGGTGCTGGTGCCGTCGCATGCAACGCCTTCTTCTGGCATTTCGCAATCCTGTGCGTCGCGCAGGGCCAGTGGTGCCTCCTCTGGGATGACCATTGGCCTTCCCGCTGCAGGTTCCGTGGCCCGTCGGGCTGCACTCGTGCGGGCGCTGGCCTGTCCTCTTGGCAACGTCGTCGCGCTGCTTCGTCCCGGGCGGCGGGGGGCTCGCTCGAGGGCGCTGGCGCATTCTGCTGGTTCCGCGGTGGCGTCAGGAAGACTTGCAGACGCGGCCTGGCGGCCGCTCTGTCTGTCCTGAAGCGATGGCGAGGCGTTGACACCTGGCCCATCAGGCGATGTCCCCACCGCGGGACTCTCAAAAGCGATGGCCTCTGGTGAGACGATCGTTCTTGTTTGCACCTTCTGCGGGGCATGCTTGGTGGGAGCCTCGCTATTGACAGTAGTCCAGGAGATGGAGGGTCCTTGGACGTACACCGCGGTGACTGGCGTCGGCTCGGCCGCTGTGATGATGGCAAAATCACCTCTGGTAACGTTGTCCCATCCTGCGCGCTGCACTTCGCAGTGCCATTCAGTGCATGTAAAGGCCTTAGTGATGTGCGTTCTCGTGGCGCTTTGTGGCTCGATACCCACGATGCGGCACTTGGCGTCGGCGAGAGCTGCCATCGGCGCTTCTGAGCTCGAGTGCCACCTGTTTAGCCTCATTGGCGTCAAGTCTGGCGCGGATGCCCACTCTTCTGTCCGCGTGGACGGCCCAGTAAGCGCTGTGCCTTCGTAGAATCAATAATGACTCTTGGAATGTATTCTGATGGCCGACCGGATGCCGTGCCGTAAAATAGTTGTTGGGCGGTAGCCTTTGGCTACATGGTAGCCTAGGTCGAAAAGTTTGCCGCCCTGTCTAGAAGTGGATGTGGCCGTTTGGGCGCCACCTGGTGCACCTCCAACGGTGGCCCATAGCCGTTCCGTGCCGACCCAAGAGCTGCATGGGCTCTTGAACTTGTGCGGTGCGAGCATGGGATGTCAATATGGCTGTGAAGGCGCCTGAAGAAGTCGCGTCTAGCTGTTGACGCGCTCAATCGCGCGTTGGTGTCTTGTGGTGCTCGTTTGCCTTTTGCTGCGCTGAGCCTGTGCGGCCTGGTATGCGGTTGCCGTTGACCAGGGCGGCACCTGAGCACTGGGCGACGGAGGTGTCCTCCAACGTCAGCGCGGCCGTGATAGAGTCAGCTTTGCATTGCGCTGTCGGGTGGGTCGAAAGCGACCTGGGCAACGTCTTGCAAACAATTGGCCTCGGCTCGGCACAACTGGGTGTTGGTCCCGTGCATGTGTCCTGGCGTAAGCTTGGTCGCCTTTAGCCGCCCGTGGGCGGACAAGGGGAAGGACCTCTTGCCCTGAGTAGTCGATGCTGGCAAGTCCCAGGACGGTTATTGTAAGGGGTCTGTCCTGCCGAGGGATCTGTTGCAGGAGGCGTCTACCCTGTTCTAGCGAGAGAAATGAGATGTTGCTTGCGGACGAGTGGGGGTGGTGCCTCGAGGCATCTCGCAAAAGGCGGCGCAAATGTGACGCCCGGGGCGGGCCTGTGCCGCCGTTCCTATTACGAGGTCCGACTGCATGTGAATTCATGCAAACACCTTGGGCATCTCATTTCTTTGGACGCCCGAAATGGGTACGGAACAAATGGGTACAATGCCCAACAACAAATGTTGTCCCAAACCAACAGCGGCCGCTGTTGGGCAGGCGGCCTTCTGTCTCGAATGGACACAGGCCGCGGCGGCGCGGACAGCGAGTCCTGTTCGAACTGGACAGGAACTACGATTAAGCATTGCACCCATTCTTTCCGTGCCCATCTCGGGCGTCCAGAACTTCGGGTTTTGCGTCGCCCGGGTGCCCTGCCCGGGCATGAGACGCTGACGCGTCCTCCGCCCTGCGGGGGTCGAGGGCGGCGGGGACGCCCCCCAGGTCGAGTGCGCACTCGGGCCGCTGGGTCGGGCGGCACCTTGGGCACCTCCCGTTTGGTTTGTGTCGCCCGGGTGTCCTGTCCGGGCACGAGGCGACGTCGCGTCCTCCGCCCTTTGGGGGCCGAGGGCGGCGGGGACGCCCCCCAGGTCGAGTGCGCACTCAGGCCGATGGGTCGGGCGGCGTTCATGCTGCGAATTCATGCAAGGCACCTCGGGCACCTCCCTTCGGGTTGTGTCGCCCAGGTGTCCTGTCGGCACTGCCCGGGCACGAGGCGACGTCGCGTCCTTCGCCCCGTGGGGGTCCAGGGCGGCGGGGACGCCCCCCAGCAGTCGAGTGCGC